CCCTTTCCTTTCTGCGTGGCCCCCCAGCCTCTGGGGCCCTGGCCACGGCCACGGACCTGTCCGCATTCCTCACGCAGGCAGATGGGGATGGGCTTCGTGTCCGTCCACGCCCGCCTCGGGGGCCTGGCTGCGCCCCTGGTCACCGCGGTCGGGGAGTTCAGTGCCATCCTGCCGCCTGTGGCCTTTGGGGCCACCTCGATCCTGGCCGGGCTGGCCGTCTGCTTCCTGGCTGAGACCCGAAACGCACCGCTGGTGGAGACCATCGAGGTGATGGAGAGGAGGTGAGAGGCCCCGGGCACAGCTGGGTGGGGGCGGCCTAACAGGCTGTGGTCCCAGAACCACTGAGGGCAGAGTCCTGTGGCTGCGGCCCCTCCATCGGTGGAGGCTTAGCTTTCACAAGAGCAGACCCGACAGCGAATGGTAGCCCGGCCGCTGTGGCTCCGTGGTTGAGCGTCGACCTATGAACCAAGAGGTCATGGGTTCAATCCCCAGTCAGGGCACAGGCCCAGGTTGCAGAGTTGATCCCCAGTAGGGGGTGTTCAGGAGGCAACGATTGATGTTTCTCTGTCATTGATGTTTCTATCTCTCTCCCCGTCTCCCTTCCTCTCCCTAAAATCAATAAAGAAAAAAAGTAAGTCTGGGCTGGTTGCCCCTCCACCTGGGGCAGGGTAGGAAGGGCCTGGCATGCCCAGCGCCCAGGTCTCTGCTGTGCCCTGGTCCACGCTGAGTCCGGCTCACCTGTGTGGCCTTGGTTGACTGCCCTGCCTTCGTCCTCTTTGGAAAACTCTTTGACCAGCAGCTTTCCCAAGTCTGGCTCTTACTAGCCAGGCAGCCTCTGCCACCGTGCGACCTCACAGTGGAGCCAGGATGGACGGGGCAGAAGGAACAGTGGAGACACATCACGTGACACAAACACCCTCGATCGTCACACGCACTTCCCCTGCCCTCACCACCTCCCTCCCACTGTCCTCCCACGTCAGCTTTCCCTTCGCCTTCTCACCCGCACAGAGCCCAAGGCCTTTCCCAGAAGGACGCGGAGGCGAAGAGTGAAGACATTGCCCTTCAGCAGCCGGGAGCTTCTCCCCTCCTGGAAACCATCTGAGGTGCCAGGGCCCGGCACCCGCTGGCCGAACCTCAGCCGGAGTCCGGCTTCCAGGTCGCCACCATGTCAAAGAGTCACCCAAAAGCCAGCGCTGGGGCTGCCGTCGGGAACCAGCCCAGCAGCCACAGGCATCACAAGTGAATAGGAAGTCAGGAGGAACCACGCCCAGGGGCCAAGGAGGGACTGTTTTCTGTCCCACCTCCAACTCTGCCCCTTAAAACCTCTTTCATTCTTGTTCCACCTGAACAGCCCCGCCCACTGGTCCTTGAGAACTCACTGTGCTCCATTCCTGACCATCACTCTCTCCTGCCTTGAGGATGAAAGCTCTCTCCCTTGTGAGTGTGCCAGCGCCTGCTTGCCCCTCGAGGTGGGCCTCGCAGGCGGTACAGGCTCAACAAATAGCTGATGAATAAATGACAAAGCCTGGCGAGGAGAGACCTCTATCCATTGTCCCACTTGTAGCAATGTCACTCTGCAGAAGACACACAGAGCGGTGACGCCCTGGCGTAGCCTGGCCTCCTCTGACCTCGGGTCCGTGTCCAGCCCAGATGTTGGACGTGTGCCTGCATTCCTGACCTGACCTTCACCAGGATGCAGATTAGATTCCTCAGGGATTCAAACCCTGGCCGTTGGGTAGCCGTGGGCAAGTTTCCTCGTCTAACCCCTTCCTCCTAGAGTTTCCAGGGCGTCAAACGAGATAAACACTCAGTCCCCTGCAGTCCAGGGAAAGGCACAATCTAGGAAAGGAATGTCACAGTTTGGGCAAAAACACCCCGTCTGCCATTTTGCCAAGGTCAGTCTTTCAGCAGTCTTGCCCTTGGAACAGAACTGGAGTCCCAGGCCCTGGCCTTCATGCCCCAGGGCCCCAGTCCCTCCCACAGAAGTAACCTCTCTCTCAACGACCCGATACATGAGCTTCCTACCTGAACTGTTTTCAACTCACAGCCCTCAGCAGATCAGTAAATTTAAAAAATATATATTTTATTGATTTTTTACAGAGAGGAAGGGAGAGGAAGAGAGAGTTAGACACATCGATGGGAGAGAAACATCCATCAGTTGCCTCCGGCACACCCTCTACTGGGGATGTGCCCACAACCAAGGTACATGCCCTTGGCATGAATCGAACCTGGGACCTTTCAGTCCGCAGGCCGGTGCTCTATCCACTGAGCAACACCGGGTAGGGCTTTTTTTCTTTTTTTCTTTATTGAACATATGTGTCCTTAATTTTTAAGAGTCTTTGTCAGAATCTTCCAGGCATCTCTAACGTTTCTCATTAAGTACCAATGAGCCTGTGGCTGCAGGGAAACTGCTACTAAGGGGCCTGGGCTTCCATTTGTCAAAGATTGCCCGGGCCAGGTAAGATCCTCGAAGGTAACTGGGAAGGCTGGTGGTGTCACGTGCCTCTGCTACCAGCTGTGCATGGAGCAGAGCTCTGCTTACTGGGCAGAGGCGGGCTGTGGCGCTTACCTGGAGCAGCCCCAGGCGCATGCCTACGTTTTCACTGGCCCATGAGCGGTGTGGCCTGGTGCCTGGGGGGAGGGATGGGGACGGGGAGGCTGCACGAGGCCCGCAAACCCCCCTTCGTGACCCACAGGCAACATGAGTGGAATCAACACGCTGATGGGGCCTCGGGGCTGCCAGGCAGCAGGTGCCACCAGAAGAGGGCTTTAAAGGATAAGCTGGGAAAGACAAGGGCAGTTCTGTGCAGGAAAGCATGACTACACAACATTTACAAAAAAATAAACCACCAAAACCACAGCTTTAATAATGCCGCCATTGTTATCGCTGCCGGACAGGCTTTCCTCGGCTGGCCGCTCCTGTGCCTTCCACTTCTCTCTTCAGCGAGCACGGAGGGCAGCCCGAGGGCAGCAGTCACAGCCCACACCCAGCCCTACCTGAGAGAGAACCAGCCAAGCCTCCTGTTCCTCAGCAGGGCGTTTCCCAGCACACCGCCCCTCTCCTAGGCCGGCATCGGCCTCGGGACTGGGTGAGGGTTTAACACAGACCCACGTAGACCCACGGAGCAGAAACAGAGCAGCTGAGCAGCCCAAGTCAAGTGAGGGCAGCCGGCCCTCGTGGTCTGGCCCAGCATGGCTTCCAGCCAGAGGCCCCTCTGCCATTCGCCAGGAACCCCTGTGAAGACAGCCGGCTTCCTGGGTGTGCCACCTGTGCGGCTGCACCGAACCCCACGCTCGGAAGGCCCCCGTTTGGTTCAGTGCCCGCTGTCACCCTGAGGATCCTCAGCATTTCGGACAGGGACCCCCGCGTGTTCCCTTCGCACCGGTCTCCCGTTAGGAAGCTGAGGTCGGCATGGAGTGAGTGGGAAGAGCCCAGCCTTGGGCCGGGCGCTCAGGTATTTACGAGGTAAACGCTTCCCTGTTGCAGATCCGGAGAAACTGCTGACACATAGCAAAGGCTTCTGGGTACTCGCTCTGCTTTCCCGTAATGTTGGCAGTTCATTCTCTTCCCTAACTGGAGCCTAACTTGAGGTAAACGGGTAGAAACCAGGACCTGAGGATGCCTCAATGTCCATTGGCAGCAGAAATGTCAATGTTTGGAAGTAAACCCAATCAGCAAATGCGGAATTATACACTTTCATTCAAACAAGATATTTTCTTCATCACAAAGCCATACCACGCTTCTGATGTTTAAACAGCAACAAAGTGACTTTAGAACATAAGGGATACCTATGATTTTTTTTGTGTGTGTGTGCCTGATTAGGAAAGAAGATAAAACGAATAAACTGATTAACTACATTAGTCAAAAGAAAGCAAGTCTGACCGGTGTGGCTCAGTGATTGACCACCCTAGTATGGCTTGTGCAGGAGGCAGCCTATCAATGATGAGGCATTCCTCATCATTGATATCTCTCTCTCTCTCTTCCTCTCCCTTCCTTTCTGAAATCAAGAAGAAAATGAAGAAGAAAAGGGACATTGTCTGAGCGGACCTGACCTAAATCACAGGCCCTTTAAACACAGAGTGTCTCTGGCTGTGGGACAAGCCCCTAGGAAAGGAAGCAGCTTGGCCAATACCTTGACCTCAGCCTTGCTGAGTGGAGAGCCCAGACTTCTGACCCACAGAACTGTGGACTAATGGACGGGTGATGTTTTAAACACTAAGTGTGCGATAAATTATTACATGGCAATAGAAAGCTAGGACACTCTTGCCAAAACCAATTTGGCTCAGTGGATAGAGCGTCAGCCTGTGGACTGAAGGGTCCCAGGTTCAATTCCAGTCAAGGGCACGTGCCTGCATTGCGGGTGCGATCCCCAGTAAGAGGTGTGCAGGAGGCAGCTGATCAATGATTCCTTCTCATCATTGATGTTTCTGCCCTCTTCCTTACTCTCTGAAATCAATTAAAAAAAATTTTTTTAATTTAATTTTGTAAATAAGGCCAACGACAAATATCATTGTACACAAACCTTTGGGCTTTGGCTGCTTTTCTTGGGATAAGAAATGCTGAGTCAAGGAGGAATAAACATCTTTTTTAAAAATAGGTTTTATTGATTTTTTACACAGAGGAAGGGAGAGGGATAATTAGAAATATCAATCAGCTGCCTCCTACACACCTCCTACTGGGGATGGGCTCACAACCAAGGTACATGCCCTTGACTGGATTCGAACCTGGGACCTTTTAGTGCAAAGGCCAACGCCCCATCCACTGAGTTAAAACCGGTTTCTGCCTGGTCCCAGACCTTTATGGTGAGGACCAGAAGGCCATTCCAGAGACACAGACAAGAACCCATTGCCTATCCCTTTATTGGAGTCTAAATACCCAGGCTGGTCCAGACCTCCATTTCATCATCCCAGGGTCCTGCCTTTGACCCAAAACTCCCAATTGGGCACACAGCGCCCCCTAGTGACCACATCTCTCTCCAAGCACCCAGACCTACATCTGGGGCTCAGACCTAAATCGGGGTCCCAGACCATCCTGGTGGGGCCAAAAATGCCAATCCGGGGCCCTGGCCACAAACACCGAACACAATGTTGTATCAGGGGACTAGATCTCCATGTGGAACCCAGACCACTATTCTATAACCCAATGTCCAGTTGAGGTACCAGACCGCCCACCGGAGCCCAGACCTCCCTCCTTGGCCCAAACTGCCTTCCCAGGACCCACATCTCCATCAAGATCTCACACCTCCATCTGGGTCCGAGACCATCCTGGCGGGACCCAGAAGATTATCCTTGGCCCAAGCCTCAAACACAGAATCCAGTCTCGATTCAGGAAAATAGTTCTCCATCTATAACCGAGACCACCATCCATAACCCAGATGTCCAAGTGAGTTACCAGACCACCCCCCGAGACCCTGACCTACCTCCTGGCCTGAATTGCCCTCCCAGGACCCAGACCTCCATCTGGGGCTCAGACCTACATCCAGGTTTTTATTTTTTATTTTTATTTTTTTTCACAGATAGGTGGAGAGTAAGATAAAGAGTTAGAAACATCTATGAGAAACATGGATCAGCTGCCTCCTATGCACACCCCACAGAGGATATGCCCACAACCAAAGTACATGCCCCTGACTGGAATCAAACCTGGAACCCTTCAGTCTGCAGGCCGAAGCGCTAGCCACTGAACCAAACCAATTAGGGTGGAATAATCATTTTTAAGGCTCCTAATATATGTTGCCAAACTGTTTTCCACCAGTCTAGTATCCCATTGGCAGAGTGTAATGCCTAAGGTTATTTAATCTAAGGGAAGCCAATGGAAATTTTGGCTCAAAGAATTAGAAGATGTTAGGCTTAGGGTTAACCCTAACACAACTGGCCAGCTAGCTCAATTGTTAAAGTGTCCTCCCGATTATCCAACATTCCGGGTTTGATCCCCAGTCAGTACACATACAAGGAGCAACCAATGAATGCATAAGTAAGTGAAATAATAAATGGATGTTTCTCTCTCAAATCAATTAATAAATTTTTTAAAATATATTTTTTGTTGATTTCAGAGAGGTAGAGGGAGAGGTAGAAACATCAGTGATGAGAGAATCATTGATCTGCTGCCACCTGGACGCCCCCTACTGGGGACCAAGCCTGCAACCCAGGAATGTGCCCTTACCAAGAATCAAACCACGGCCTCGTTTCATAGGTCAAGGCTCAACCACTGAGCATACTGGCTGGGCAATAAAAAAAAATTTTTTAAGTTATAAAAAAGGAATTAGGAGGTATTTCTGGGGGAAGGCCCTCTTTTCATTTCACCTCTAAACTCTCTTGACTCCAGAGCTCTCAGTCACCCTAAGTTCCTCTACCTGGAAATCCCAAAGGCACCCCCAAACCTAAGATCCAAAACTAAGTCATTTGTCACCTTTCCACTCCTTTCCTACCAAAATGCTCCAGATCCAGAAAATAGACCTTTCACTATGGCTGGGACCAAAGTGGCAACTAGGATGATAACCAGGACAACCATTTTCTAACGTAGCCGCCTTATTAAGATGAATGAGGTTAGGAGGGCAGAGAAGGAAAGACATGCCTTCCTCTCCGGCATGGGGCACAGAATGTTTGGGACGTCCGAAGGAACATATACAAAGCCCCTGCGCATCGAGGCCCAGGACTACGGAGTGGTGATCGCGCGTCATGAGCCTTCGCCAAGAGGCTGGCACCGAGACGCGGTTTCGGTGCCGAGAGCGGAGTCCCGGCTTCCGCGGTTTGGGAGAGACACTGCGCAGCCGCCGTAGGACCCTCCCGCCGCCAGGTTGCCAGGTTCGTGCGCGCGCAGGCGGCCTGGGGTGTGCGCGCGCAGGCGGCCTGGGGTGTGCGCGCACGCGCCCTCGGACGCGCGCGGAGTCCGGGAACCAGAAGGAAGCGGAGGGGAAGGGGTGGGGCTCAACCCTGGTCTCGCGCACGCGCGCGCCGCACAAACAGTTTGGCGGGTTTTTTCCTGGCCGCTGTGTTGTGTTCCGGTGACTGAGATGCTCAGCAGCGGCTTTTAGGAAGTGGGAGGCCGTTCTCCTCAGGAGAGCGACTTCTCGAGATTTCTGCGCCATTCCTTCGGGCTTCGGGGGCTTTCTCCACATTAAAAAAAAAAAATTGTTTCTCCGTGACTGACTGACGCCTGAGGTTTGGGGCTATTTAGTCACCTTCCGTCTCGGCCCTCTGAAAAGCGAAAGGAGCCGAGGGGCCTCGTCCTGCGCATCGATCCCCCGTGGGTTTCTTGGGCTCGGTCGGAGCTGGGTGGACCCGTCCCCCGTCCTGGGTCACCATGACCGTGTCCGTCCAGCAGCTGACAAAGGAGCTGGAGATCTTTGGCGTGGACTGCGACGAGTCTCTCACCGAGAAACGTGAGTCCCCACGCGCGGCCGGCGCGGCGGTCCCAGCGCCTAGTCTAGGCCCCGGGACCCACGGGGGGCGCTTCCGGTGCCCCCTCCCCATGGTGAGGCGTGTCGGTGCGTGAGAGACGAAGTAAGCTGAGTTTTGAGACTTGGAAATGCCCAGAGTGCTGCGGGGACCGCCGCCTCAGAAGTGAGCATGTGAAGTTCGGTGCTGAGTCCTTGCGGGTTCCGCGGTGGAACGGGGTCGTGCCGGGTTCGCACCGGGCGCCGTCAGCTCTAGGCTTGGGCACCCCGGCCCCCCTCTCCCCGGCCTGCACCCTACACTCCCGCCGACCCGCCCCTCATCAGAGCTGCTCAGTCTGCAGAGATGAGCCCCGAGGTGGCTCCTGAGACGGAGTGTGGGCTTTGGAGGGACTTCAGGGAGCTGGGCAGCTGGGGCAGAGGCGGGGCGACGGGAGAGTTGGCAGCCTGAGTGGTCTGCGAAGCCAGCCTCCTGTCCCTCAGCCTAGAGCGCCATCCTGTGGGCAATGGTGCCGTCAGGCGCTGGGCAGTGGGGTACGTAGAGTTCTAGGTTTTAGAAATGGGGTGAGTGTGCACCTGCCATAACCATCAACACTTCGAACTTCTTATTTTTAATTTAAAAAATTTTTAGTATAAGTTTTTATTGATTTCAGAGAGAGGACAGGAGAGGGATAGAAACATCAATGATAAGAGAGGATCATGGATCGGCTGCCTCCTGGGGATCAAGCCCACAACCTGGGCATGTGCCCTTGACCAGAATAAAACCAGGGACCCTTCAGTCCGCAGGCCAACGCTCTATTCACTGAGCCAAACCAGCTAGTGCTGAACTTTTTTTTTTTTTTTTTTTTTTTAATATATTTTATTGACTTTTTACAGAGAGGAAAGGAGAGGGACAGAGTTAGAAACATTGATGAGAGAAACATTGATCAGCTGCCTCCTGCACACCCCCTACTGGGAATGTGCCTGCAACCAAGTTACATGCCCTTGCCCTGTGACACCGTTCTGTCCCACTCTCAGTTGATGGCTTTACTTCCTGTTTTGCTGGGAAAATAGAAGTTATTAGTGAACTTCAGTAAGTTACTACTATTGCGTCTTCCTGCCTACCAGTGTCTGTGCTGTCTGCCCTGCCTTCTTTGCTGTTACAGTGAATATGTTCCCCATATTCCAGGCAAAAGCCGCACCTTCCACTTGAGTCCTAAATCCCATCCTTCTCACCTTCTTAGGGACATCACTCCAGTAATTCTCCCCTCTTACATATTTTGTATTTTTTTTTCTATTAGATTTTCTATTTTTTCTATTAAGATTTTTTTCCTTAATAGCATAGAGATGTGGTTCTTACTACTGCCTTTAAAATACTCGATTGAGCCCAGCCGAGTGTGGCTCAGCGATTGACCCAGGAACTAAGAGGTCACAGGTTTGATTCCCAGTCAGGGCACATGCCTGGTTGTGGGCTGGAGCCCCAGTGAAGGGTGTGCAAGGAGGCAGCTGATCGATGATTTTCTCTCATCATTGATGTTTCTATTTCTCCCTCTCCCTTCCTCTCTAAAATGAATAAAAATATATTTTAAATTAAATAAATAAAATATGCCAAAACCAGTTTGGCTCAGTGGTAGAGCGTCGGTCTGTGGACTGAAAGGTCCCAGGTTCGATTCCGGTCAAGGGCATGTACATTGGTTGCGGCACATCCCCGGTGGGGGATGTGCAGGAGGCAGCTGGTCGATGTTTCTCTCTCATCGATATTTCTAACTTTCTATCCCTCTCCCTTTCTCTCTGTAAAAAATCAATAAAATATATTTTAAAATAAAAATAAATAAATAAAATACTCTATTGATCCCACTTCCCACTTCAGTTCTTTCTTCCCAATTACAGCAAAAGAGTTGTCTAGATTTGTCTTCAATCTTTTTGTCCTTAAAAGTCAGCTTTTTCATCTCTACCATTACACTGAAAACTGCTTCTGTCGAGGTCATCAATGACTTTGTCCTGGGCTAAAGTCTGTGGTAAATTTTTAGTCCTCATCTTGAGTTACCAGCAACATTTAATTCTGTTCCTCATGTTTTCTTTTTTCTCTTAGCCTCTTGGACACACTGGTGTTCTTCTACCTTGTTTATTGCCGCCTTTCAGGCTCTGCAGATTCATGCCTCTCACTTTCTTGGTGATCTCACCTGATTTCTTGGCTTTACAGCCCTGTACTTCTGATGAGTTCCAAATTCATATCTTAGCCCAGAACTCTTGCCTGAACTGCAGGCTCGTCTGACCAACGTGACGTCTCCAATTGGATGTCTAACTGACACCTCAAACTCTACTCTTCTGAAATTGAGTTCCTGGTATCTGCTCCCTCTCCTCGAAGTAGTTCCTCCTGTTGTCTTCCCCACCTCCCTTCCAGGTGCTCGGGCTAAAAACACAGCATCATCTTCTTTCTTTTTTCAGCCCTCATGTCCAGACAGCAAACCCACTGGCTTTACTTCTAGGATGTTTCCTATCCAGAGTCCCACCACCTCTGGCCGCCTCCGCTGTCACCACCTTCACTGTCACCTCCCTGATCCAAGCCACCATCATCTCTTGTCTGGATTTCACCATGATTCTTCTAATTAGTTCCCTGATTCTGTCCTTGTCCCCTTCAGTCAATGGAAGTCAGATCATGTTACTGTTGTACTCGTTTCAGACGCTCTAGCTATTTCCCAACTTGCTCAGAGTGCTACCCAGAGTAGTTGTAATAGTAAACAATCTGCACCTCCTTTACCCTCTCAATTCTGCCTCCTCCTTCCCAGCATTCCAGTCACGTGGCCTTGCTGATCTTGCTAGACCTCGGAATTTTTGCCTGAAAGCTATTCCCTTAAACACTGTGGCTCACTCCTTCACTTAAAAGACTTCTGCTGAAACCGGTTTGGCTCAGTGGATAGAGCATTGGCCTGCAGACTGAGGGGTCCCGGGTTCGATTCTGGTCAAGGTCATGTACCTTAGTTGCGGGCACATCCCCAGTAGGGGGTGTGCAGAAGGCAGCTGATTGATGTTTCTCTCATCGATGTTTCTCTCTATTCCTCTCTCTTCCTCTCTGTAAAAAATCAATAAAATATATTTTAAAAAAGAAGAAGAAGAAGAAGAAGAAGCAGCCAAAACCTGTTTGGCTCAGTGGATAGAGTGTTGGTCTGCAGACTGAAAGGTCCCAGGTTCAATTCCGGTCAAGGGCATGTACATTGGTTGCAGGCACATCCCCGGTGGAGGTGTGCAGGAGGCAGCTGGTTGATATTTCTCTCTCATTGACGTTTCTAGCTCTCTATCCCTCTTCCTTCCTCTCTGTGGAAAATCAATAAAATATATATATATTTTTAAAAGAAGTAAACTAAGTTTTTACTTGTCTGATGTTCCCTCCACAGTGGCAGAGCTGTGTGTGCAGTATGGACAGAGTGAGGAGGAAATGGTACGCGAGTTCATAGCCTTCTACACCAGCACACAGAAAGACTGCCTTACCTCAGAGACTCTGAGCTCTTTTGAGCATGAGGTAAGGGCACCATGTAAGGGAACTCATCGGGTAAATCTCCATTTCTGCTCTCCAGCAGAGGCAGGATGACACATTGAGAAGAGCCTGGGCTTTGGGATCAACCTGGCTTCCAGTCCCAATGTGAGCTTGTCAGACCATTTAATGTCTCTGAGCCTTGGTTCCCTCTTCTGTCAGTGGTTCTAGTAATGCATATTTTTTAGGATTATTGTCAGAATTACATGAAAATGGATGTAAATCACGTAGGACTATGCCCACCAGGTGGTAGGTCTTCAACAAGGTATTATTGTTGTAGAGAAATTGTCACAGAATAAGTCTTTATTTTTAGTTGAACATGTGTGTCTTCTTAATTCTTACTTTGAGGAATTGTATATCTTTAATTACATTTCGAATGCCTGTTATCTACCTCTTCTTGACTTTGCACTTGACTTTGGGGTAATATATTCAACATCTTTTATTCCTCAGTGTCTGAGCAAAAGGTCCAAAGCCCGTCCCAGTGCCTCCAAGGACAGTGGGCATGCGGGAGCCAGAGACATTGTTTCCATACAAGAGCTGTATCCTTTCTGTGGAAGGTCTTTGCCTCAAGCCATAGTCTATTTTATCATTTATTTACCGTGGCATGTGTAATTTACAAACAAAAATAAAAAGTTCCTTCTGTTCAGATTTCTACTTAATCAATTCTTGCCTTAGATTTTGAGAAGTTTATTATTGTTTTTCTTAACCAATATTTTTAGAATTGAAGTGGAGGAAGAGGAGGAGACCCTCTTGAACTCTTATACCACACCCTCTAAGGTGAGTTCACAGTGTTTGGAATTACATTCTGCAAATAGTGTTTATTTCTTTATTCTAAAAACATGACATTTGAACTTTTGAGAGAAAATTATCCACTCATATAGTTTCCGTGTATTTCCTATCATATTTCCTCTAATGCTTCTTCCTTCCCTTATGCATATGTGTTTTTCCATAGTGGCAGTTCTTGTGAGCATTTATTTTTTATTTTTTATTTTTTAAAATATATTTTATTGATTTTTTTACAGAGAGGAAGAGAGAGGGACAGAGAGTTAGAAACATCGATGAGAGAGAATCATCGATCAGCTGCCTCCTGCACACCCTCACTGGGGATGTGCCTGCAACCAAGATACATGCCCCTGACCGGAATCGAACCCGGGACCCTTCAGTCTGCAGGCGGACTCTCTATCCACTGAGCTAAACCAGTCTCGGCTCTTGTGAGCATTTAATTATCCTGCTTTTCTCAGTTAGCATATCATAAAATTTTTATAAATACCATTTCTCCATAACTATTCTTTTTAATGGTTGTATAGTTTCGTATCAAGTTGAGGTACTATAATTAAATAATCTAATACCTGTGTTGGATTCAAGCACGACAGAGAGTAGGATAGTGGAAAAGTATTGCCCTCAAAGCCTGAGTCAAAAGACTTCGGTGACCTTGGGTAAGTTGTTTTAGCTTTCTGAGCTGCAGTTTCCTTACGTATACACTCAGGATTCATTATTCATTTACTGAGCAGCTACTATGTGCCAGGCGCTGTACAATGAATGAGACGGCATGGAGGGGCTCTGCCGTCCAGAAGCTCACAGCCAGGGGATAATAATCTATCTCGCGGGGTGGGGGAAAGGAGACCTATGTAAAATTTTAGACAATAAATAAAATAAAATAATCCATCTCAGAGGGCTTGAAGATGAAATGAATATGTAAAGCGCCAAGCCCAAAGCAAGGTATTCAGTAATAGTAGTTACTATTTATACAAAATAAATTTATATTATAGAATTGTGCCTTTGAAACTTGTATAATTTTGTTAACCAGCATCACCCAATAAATTCAAAAGGGGGGAATAAATAAATTTGTGGAAATACATAAATATGGAGTAAGCCTTAATTTTTCAAATTAAATTACATTGTAAGAAAGGAAGTAAATAGTTTAAGTGTGTCTGTGGAGAGCAAGAAAGTTAAAAATGTACTTAAAAAGGGTCCCGGGTTCGATTCTGGTCAAGGACACATACCGTGGTTGCAGGTTTCTCCCCGGCCTGTGTCCTGGTCGGGGCTTGCGCAGGAAGCAACCAGTTGATGTGTCTCTCACATCGATATTTCTCTTTGTCTTTCCCTCTCTCTAAAGATCAATGGAGAAATATCCTCAGATGAGGATTAACAAAAACAAAGAGAGTGCTCCTTTCAGATGAAAGTCAGGCCAGGTTTCTCTTGTTCACAGCTCTCCACCAGTTCTCCATCTTCCCTGGTAACTTAGTAACCTGGTAAATTCAGTCTGAGAATGTGAGGTTATGTCTGAGCCGGCCCTATTCCCTCTGACCTCCTTCCATGCCCCTCCTCGCTCTTCAAACACACCAAACAGGTACACCTCATATGTCCCTTTGTCAGAGGGAACAAACTTGGCTAAAATCGCAACCTTTTTTTCTTTCTTTTCTTCTTTTTTAAAATATTTTTTTACTAGCGGACCAGTGCACTGGTGGGGGGGTGGGGGGCAGGATCTCTCAGCCTGGTGCGCCCTCTCACAGTCTGGGACCCCTCGGCGGTGTCCACATTGCCAGCTCAGGCCCACAGTCTGACATCCTTAGCGCTGCTGAGAAGGTGGGAGAGGCTCCCACTGCCACTGAGCTTGCAGCTGTCAGCCCGGCTTTGGGTAGGTGGAGCTTCCCTGTGGGAGCGCACTGACCACCAGGGGGCAACTCCTGCATTGAGCGGCTGTCCCCTGGTGGTCAACGCACCATATCAGCGTCACCTTTAGGGTTAATTTGCATATTACCCTTTTATTATATAGGATGGCTTGTTTTAGAGAGAGAAACATTGATGCGAGAGAGAAATATCGGTTGGTTGCCTCCAATTACGCACCCCGACCAGGAATTGAACTGGGTGACCTTTTGGTGCACGGTACGATGCTCAACCAACTGAGCCACCCTGGCCCGGTCCTTTCCTTTATTTTATGCTTTGTTTTCTCCATGGAACTTACTACCATGTGACATGTTATATAATATTTGCTCTTTGATTTAGTCTGTCTCCCTCCCTTAGAGTAAAGCTCCTTGAGGACAGAGATTTTGCTTTAGTCACCGCTGTTCTAGTGCCTGGCACAGCAGTAGTTGTTGAAGTACAGACTGTCTGAAAGAGGACAGTTGGGTGGCTCTCCAGGTAGCATCAAGCAGAATTGTAATACCTGTTGGGGCCACCATCCTGTTGATCTGATTGACAGCTTCGCAGCTCCAGAATGCATCCGACTTGCCTGTATATGCAGAGTTAATCACATTCTTGGGAATTGACTCATGGTAACCCAGGATAAGGAACCCACTGTATTTCTCATTACAAGTGAATAACGCGTGAGGTGGTAATAGTGAAGCTCATGAGCTTGGGCAGAGTGAACGCGCCCCTGAGGAGTGTAAGGCAGTTGACTTGTTGACAGGTTTTAGGACAGGGTCTGAGGATGAGAGAAATGAGACTGCTTTTTCCAGAGTACCATCCTCTTGCCATGTTCTGGGAGGCAAACTGTCTTGAAATAATCCCTGTACAACATTGGCCCTATAGTCCTACAGAGCACTGTATATTAGAAAAATCTTTGGGAAAATAGTTTGAGAAAATATATATACTGAGTGGCCACTCAGTGTATATCCCTTCCTCTGACCAGGCTGGCCGGACCCCACCCATGCATGAATTCATGCACTGGGCCTCTAATACACACACACACACACACACACACACACACATTGAATGGCCAGATTATTATGCGTTCAGAGATCATAATAATCTGGCCACTCAGTATATCAAAACTATAAAATCTTTTCTATCTTTGACCCAATAATTCTTCCTAGCAAAACTCTCCTAAGGAAATAAATTACATAATGAGAAAAATCTATATGTGACAATATGAATCTCAGCATAATTTATATTCACCCCAAATTATAAGCAACTGATACATCCAGCAATAGAGAAGTCATTCTGTAAATTATTATGTCGTTCTGCTGTTCAGGCCCTGAGAGGAGCATGTGCAGGAGACAACCAATTGATGTCTCTCTCATGTCAATGTTTTTCTCTCTTCCTTCCTCTCTTCTATCTCTAGAAATCAATGGAAAAATAATATCCTCTGGTGGAAATTAAAAAAAGATTGTGGCATTGTGGGAAAATGCTGGTAATTAATATAGAGCAAAAAAGATCAGTATACATAGTACTTAAACCAAGATTTATATTTAAACTGAAATTGTACCTATTAGAATTTGTATTTTTAATTGGAAAAATATTAAAGTACTAGAAAGGAATATTAAAATATGCTTGTTGTATAGTGTTCATCTCACAGTCGCCACAGTAGGCAGCTTTGGTGGCATGACTCAGATCCACAGCCAGGAGGAGCCCAAGGGCAGACTAGGTGGCCTCCTGGTTGCAGTCCAGGCAAGGGTTTTGCCTTCGCTCTGTCGGTCAGTGATGCTAGCCTTTGGGGAGCAGGAGGTCTCTGGACTGCGGATTTCATCTCCATTCTGGGCATATCCTGGGATTCTTGCTGATGAGCAAAAACCAAAAAATGACTATCAATGAGGTGTTTGTTAATACTCTCCAAGTATGAGCTCAACCATGTTTTCTGCCTTAGTCATTCCCTTCTCTAATTTTACAAATGTGTGGTAGACTTTGCCAAAATAAGTAGTAACATGGCCCATCCCTTCTCAGGAAAACCCGCCCATGCAGGTCAGACCCATGCATTGTTAAACTCACACCTGTTCTAAAGCAGTCAAAGATGGGGAAGAAGCTGACCACATGCATGATTTGACAGGACAGATGCCTGCTCGGCAGTCCTTTTGGGAAAGGTTGGCACTTTTTCATAATTGCCTTCAACATGGGGCCAGAATTCTGATAAAACCTGGGTTACAGTTGCTGAAGATTTCTGTATGGGATTGTGCTTGGCAGATGGGACTCTAAGACCCCGTCCTAAGGAACTATGCCCTTAATTAGTAACTGAGTCTAGGGACTGGGGTTTTGTTTTTTATTTTGTTTCTAGGGTTCTCAGAAGCGAGCTGTCACCACCCCAGAAACCCCCTTAACAAAAAGGAGGGTGTCTGCCCGCAGCCCCCACGTGCTCCTCTCGCCATCGAGTTTCTCTCCAAGGTAGGAATTAATTCAGCTGCCGAAAAGCCTCTGCCCTCCCCTTTCTCTGGTTATCTGGTGGGGGCGAATCCACCATTAAATTAATTGGGGGGTAACTTATTGAATGGGGGTGGGCGGACCCCCACCGCCGTCAACTGGCCGGAGAGCCTGTTGCCCTGGGCCCTCCCTGCGCGCTCTTCCTGTGTGGAGAATTACTGTTTCTTACAGTAATTAAGGAAATCACTTTCCACCCAGTTTTCTGGGGCTCGTTTCCTAGATCAGGAACTGATATCTTGACTGGAAACAACCTGTCTATTCAGGAGTCAGTCCTCCCAGTCCTGCCAGCCGAGGCGCCGAGCCTTTCACCTGCTTCTCTGTTAGTTCGAGTCGTTGGGTTTCTTTTTCTTTTTCCCCATCTAAAGTAGTTATTTGTTTTTAAAAAAGAAAAGCACGTATCTCTGTTCATAATGTTGCATAACCTGTTATTGTGCCACCTCAGATTACAGCTGGTTTCTGAGAGTTTTCTGTCACTGTGGATTTGCACCGACTTAATTGGTGTTTTGTCCCTGCAGCTACTTCTGCACGCGAATCCACAGAGATCATACGTGATTTTTTGAAATCCGTAAATGACATGTCTCATATGAGAGCATTCCATAGGTGAGGGCTGTGCTGCATGGAAGAAAGGTTGTACGCGCTGCCACACCAGGATGAGGCTGAGGAACAGAACTGCGGACCGTCTAGGGAAAGGGGGGGAGCCTCTTCTCTGTCCAGGGCCCTTTCAGGGGCCATACAGAACTACCAGCTTAGAAATGAGCCTGCTGGATTTGGTCAAACATTCATTAACTCACCTAAGGCCGTGGCAGGGCCAAACGATTTTGCGGGCCGTGGTCCGCGGGCCAGGCGTTCCCCACCCCTGGTCTAGGTGGCTGCCAGGGCCACCACTCCACTTTGCATCATTTCTAGGAAGCGCTGCTTAAGGTTTCTGTTGCTTTGGAAAGGAGGTGAAAGCAGTCAGTCAAGATGAGCCGTCATGGGTTCTAAAGGACAATTTAATTTTCATGTGGTCCACTGCTGCTTTGGGCAGTTCTTGGGCTTTTTAGAAGCGAACGTTCTAGACGGACAAAGGCGCCTGTGGAACTTGGTGTACAGAGATGGTTCTCGTAAGCGGCCCAGCACTACCACAGTGGTCGTATTCTCTGAAGAAGCAGTCCTCTGAAACCTGTAGATCTTTGTACAGCTGACCTCGTGTGAGTGTTTCGGTGCCTTACAGGGCCGGCGGCCACAGACATCCCACAAGCTTGGCAGGGAGGGGCTCGGAGAAGTCAGATACGCTGCCTCGTCATTTTTAAATGCACGCTAATAAAGCCGACATCAGAAACTGGTTTTGTCATTTATGAAAGTAACTTCTAAATTATTCAGGTGGAGGCAGCCCTGAGATGGAGATCATTAACTGAGTCGCTTTCTGTAGCCTCCCTGTGGAGAGACGGGACGATGCCCTGCTTGCTGCGGGCCCACATACAACGGTCCTGCACGTTCCGGTGCATTCATACCAGTAAGCCTGTTCTGAATAGACCTCTCTGAGTTATGTTCACAGCCAGAGGAATAGGGGCCTCTGTCACCTAAGCAGGCAGCAAAGTGTGAGTGTTCCTGGAGGTGTAATTCACCCCGGGGAGAGGAAACGTGAGAACATGTCAGTGGAGCCGTGGAGAATGGGAATGTTTGTTCACCAGCTGACCAGGTTCATTACATCGTGCCGCCGCGGACACTGGGAAGTCGGTTCATTTCTCTTCACTTTGCTGCTGTTTCCACCTTGAACTGTGTGGGAGGTGATACATACTAGTACACGCACAGCAGCCTTTGGCTCATCCAGGCTCTGACGATGTTCTAATAAATGCTAAGTATTCACAGGAAGGAAAGAAAATGGTTCTTGAAGTTTGCTTTTTAATCAGTTCAGAGTTTAGGTTTCATTTTCCTTTGTTTAGTTTTAAGAGAGGAGAACGACCTTATAAAATATCTCTCTGTCTCTAAACGTCTCTAGCACGGTTGGGATTGCTCAACCTGGTCTCCCGCAGCCCCTCATTCCTGAAATTCCTTAAGGGTCTGGATATGTCTGACCCCATTAAGCTTTACAAACCCCAGCTTGACATCTCTCCAGTCCCCATTTCTAAAAGGCAGCCTCATTTTGTTCCTCTCTCTTTACAGATGAGCACAGTAATGTTCATCTCTTTTGCTCCCAATTAGTGCAACTCCCTCTCAGAAATACAACTCGAGAAATAACCGCGGAGAAGTGGTTACCTCCTTTGGCTCAGCACAGGGCGTGTCCTGGTCCGGGAGAGGAGGAGCCGGTGCCATCAGCCTGAAGGTCTTGGGGTGTCCGGAATCACTAACTGGGAGCTACAAATTCATGTTCCAGAAGCTCCCCGATATTCGAGAAGGTGACGGTTTTTCCCTTTGGAATTTTGGCGGATATAAAACCACCTGGGAGGGTTTAGAGTAAGCAGCAAAGCGTCAGCGAGGCTGCAGAGCAAGTTCCAGGGTTACCTTTGGATTCGTAAGTTCGTCGGTGTCCCCTGGGCTCCTGTTAGTGTAGGGACATGAGATGATTCAGGAATTCGCAGTGACCTCCGTTTGCTAAAGAAAAGTGCTAAAGAAACAGCACATAACCATTTCCCAGTAACAACTATTGAACAATGCAAAGGAAGCCAATTAAAGTATTAAAGCAGAAACACTTACGGCTTCTTCCTGGTAAAGAAAGGAGACTGTCCCGGTCGGCCTTGGCTTGCCCAGTTCTCACTGATGCGCTGAGTAACAGGAAGGCGGTGGAGTGGGATCTGTGCTGCCCCTGGGGTTGTGCCGTGGGATCCCCGTGGCCACACGGAAGGCCAGCTTCAGCAGCAAGTCTCAGGCAGTTGGCTAGGGCTTTAGAAAGAATAAACCAGCCAGCGCTCCTAAGCACCCTTCCTGCTTCTGTGAAATGGCTGGCATTGATGTTTGACAGCGTGCTGTATTTTCTCTTTTTGGCAAGTGCACTGTCTTAAACACAATGTGTTTTCCCCTTGGGATTCCAGTTCTGACCTGTAAGATAGAAGAACTTGGCAGTGAACTCAAGGAACATTACAAGATTGAGGCTTTTACTCCTGTTCTAGTTCCGGCACAAGTAAGAATTGTTCCCATAGTCCTTCCTAATTAATACTGTATTTTTTAATCCCTGGTGAAAACCATCCTCTTGTGTCCCTTTTCACTTCTTGTCTACATGCTGGTTAGACTTGTCTGCATGCTGGTTAGAACATCCTCCCTGGTTCGATTTGGTAAAGTGGGTACTTTGGAAAAAAGACTTACAAGTGCTTTCTGGTTTTATGACCAGACACGGTCATTGTCTTTGCACTTGGGTTCGGCTCCTGCACACAGCAAAGATGGAAGGCCTTAAGCATTCAGTGTCAGACTGTGAGGACAACAGCAAGGATAGGAGTTCCAGAAACGGTTTCACAGTCTCTTCCTTGTTTGGTCTCTGTTGTTAGGGGCTAGCTGCTGCCAATGGTGTCCTTACACCGTGGTTTAACCTGTCATAAGTGCCAGTGCATTCTTTAGAGGGAGGTGTGTTGTAGAAGAGTCTTTAAGGTACCTCGGTCATATGTTTTCATTCAGAGAATGGCCAGTTGGGGAAGATAATGTGAAACCATGTGATATGAGGAAGCTTGGGAGGAAGTAGGGGAGGGGGGACAAGGATGCATGATCTTGTGGGAAAAGATTAGACTTCCTCAGTTGGCCCCAAGGAATGGGAACAGGACAGAAAAAGCCACAGGAAGAGAAATTTCAGCTCAATTGAACGAAGAACTTCCGGTTAAGAGGCAGTAAGTATAGTGTGTAGTTAAAGATATGGCTGTAGAGCTAGGACACACACACACACACACACACACACACAGACTTTTTTTTTTTTTTTTTTTTTTTTTTGCCAAGGGCCATTTGGATATTTATAACATCGTGCACAAGCTACACAAAATTATTAACTGAAAAATTAGTCCCCTCCCCCCCAAAAAAAAACCACACCAAAAAAAACATTAATCTGCTATACTTGATCAAACTTTTAATTAACTCACCCCTAATGCCTTGGCAGGCCAGACCAAAGGATTTTGCGGGCCTCATACAGCCCATGGGCCAGATGTTCTCCACCCCTGAATAGAGCCAAACTTCTAAGCTTCAAAGCCAGGCTTCACTCACTGTTTAACCTCAACTAAATAATCTAGTGTCTCGGTTGCTCAGTTTTCTCATCTGTAAAATGGGTACAGTAATAGTATCCCTCACATTTGTTGTGAGGACTAATGAGTTAATACCTGTAAGCCTTTAGAACAGTGCCTGGTGTTTGGTAAGCTCAATACATGTGAGCTATTAACAGCTATAGCTATCCAGAGATGCAATGGGGGCTGCTCTTGGGGTGTGGGGGCAAGTTCCCCTTCATCAAGATCCTCAAGCTTTTTTTTTTTTTTTTAATATATTTTATTGATTTTTTACAGAGAGGAAGGGAGAGAGATAGAGAGCTAAAAACATCGATGAGAGAGAAACATTGACCAGCTGCCTCTTGCACACCCTCTACCAGGGATGTGCCCGCAACCAATGTACATGCCCTTGACCGGAATCGAATCTGGGACCTTTCAGTCCGCAGACTGACGCTCTACCACTGAGCCAAACTGGCTTCGGCAAGAGATGCTCAAGCTTAATGGTGCCACTTAGGGCGTCTCAAGGATTAGGTAGGCAGACTGGACCCCTTTAAGAGTTCTAATTCCCCTGAGAGTCAGTGACTATGCTCTTCACCTCAGGATTAAAATGATACCCAACAAAACAATGTGTGTTGTTATTTGGGGTTTGCTTTGCTCTTCAACCTGTTGACTTCAGAATTTGAGCTTCTGTTCTTTTGTTGCAACCTTCCTTCCGCAGGAGCCTGTCACGCTGCTGGGCCGGATTGGCTGTGATAGCAATGGGAAGCTGAACAACAAGTCGGTGATTCTGGAGGGAGACCGAGAACATTCCTCTGGCGCTCGAGTCCCAGTGGATTTATCTGAGCTCAAAGAATACTCTCTGTTTCCCGGACAGGTGAGACCGGATGCGGCCTGTGCGCCGGGCAGTGCTGTAGGAATAAGCATCTCAGCACTAGCTGCTGCTCCCGGCTTCCAGCCTCTGCTCCATGAGAGGTGACTGGAGCGCAGGCCCAGCAGCGGACACTGGGGAGGGGATTCTGATTTGCCCGCGTATGCTCTGATCTTGGCTCTGGAATCCGAGGCCCAGGTTCACTTCCCAGCTCCACCCCATGAGGGGTGTGACTGTGGCCATTTTCGTTAGCCAGAGTGTCTTCATCTGTGAACTAGGAATAAATTCTTACCTCAGAGGGTTGTTGTAAAGTTAGGTCATCCGTATAAAGCATAATTATTATTACTAACACAACCCCCTTAATTTGGTTTCTAGAAAAAATACTGTCAAGTGTACAATTACAAAATGAGGGTAGCTGGCAGTATTTTTTTAATTACATCAAAATAATTTATTCCTGGCCTCTCGTTTATCTGCCCTGTTTGCTTCTTGTCTTTCAGGTTGTGGTTATGGAAGGGATCAACGCCACTGGCAGGCAGTTTGTTGCCACTAAACTCTACGAGGTACCGCAGGGCTCCCCTGCCCTCCCGCCAGGTTTGCCTCGGGCGTAGATGTGCAGTTTGTCCTTTTTTAAGAGCCTATTTACCTCTCAGTTCTCTCTCTGGAGTGGGAACCTACTTCTAGGCGAGGGGTTAGCAAACTGTTTCTGTAAAGGGCCAGAGTAAATATTTTAATAACCACAGCCAAAGACAGCCTGAAAACCGATGAGTGCCTGTTTGCCAGGAAAACCTTGTTTATAAAATAGGTGTGCAGGATTTGGCCCACAGGCCGTAGTTTACCTGTCCCTGCTCCGGGCAATAATCATCCGCAGCTTTTCATAGAATGCAGGCGAGAGGAGCAGACGTGCTGCTCTCCCCTCCTTCTCGAGGACTCGCACTTCGCTCCCACTTTTGCTGGGTGTTTATGACTTTTGCTGTGACCTCCCATTTTCTGGGTTTCTCTGTCGCTCTGAGCAAATACAGAAAAGGGCGGATGCCTTCAGCTCTGTGAGCTTTTAGCTCCATGGAGCAAGACAGCTACAAACACGCCCCTGTTCGGTGCCCACCCTTCCCCTTACCACGGCGATGCATGGAGCAAGACCTGTTTCATTTCTCTCCCGTTTCTAAGGGTGTGCCGCTTCCATTTTATCAGCCCTCCGAAGAGGATGGAGGTAAGTTTGGGTTCAAGCATTGTTGTGCCAACGTGGCAGGGTGGGCAAGGGTCCAGGAGTGCAGTGCCTCGGGCCCGCAGTGGGAGGCCAGGTCTGACCACCTGAGTCCTGAGTACTGAGGCGTGTCGTTCAATGCTAATGTTCACAGGTATTTGAAGTTGCTTTGGAAAAAGGAAAACTAGGAGCCATTTAAAAAAGAGTTTCTTTCAATGCAATGTGGTATCCTAGAGTGGATTCTGGAAATACTAGTGACATCTACATCAAGTCAGGAATTATTAACAGTGATGTGTCAGTGCTAATTCCTTCTTTTTTTTTAATTTTTATATTTTATTGATTTTTTACAGAGAGGAAGGGAGAGAGATAGAGTTAGAAACATCAATGAGAGAGAAACATGCTTCCTGCACACCTCTCACTGGGGCTGTGCCCACAACCAAGGTACGTGCCCTTGATTGGAATTGAACCTGGGACCCTTCAGTTCGCAGGCTGATGCTCTATGCACTGAGCCAAACCGGTTTTGGCTAATTCCTTCATTTTGACAAACGTTGGAAAGATGCCGCCATCAGGGCCACTGGGTGAAAAGTATACATACAGCAACTCTGTACTGTCTTTGCTACCAGTTTAAGGTTATTCCAAAATAAGAAGTTTATTTAAAAAATTAGATGACTTTCTAAGAAAGCCCAGAGTTGTTTGGTAACTAAATCAGATGGGGAAAGGCAAAAATAAATTTTAACAACCTTTGCTTCAAAATATTTTAAAGCATTTTTCTAAATATTTTTTATTGATTTCAGAGAAGTAGGGAGAGGGAGAGAGAGATAGAAACATCAATAAGAGAGAATCATTGATTGGCTGACTCCTGCAAGCCCCTTCTGGGGATCAAGCCCACAACCCAGGCATATGCCCTAGACTGAATCGAACCTGGGACCCTTTAGTCCGCAGGCTGATGCTCTATCCACTGAACCAAACCGGCAAGGGCTTAAAGCATTTTTGTAAGGGAAGAAGACTATTAAGGATTCAGAGTGAGATGGCCACCCCCATACACATTCATAGTGTATGAGGTTGTTCTTGGCGACGAGGTAGAATGAGGAATGAAATTTAGGAATTGATGATACTGTGCATTTTATCAGAAAACGTGTTTATGGCAGTATGAGTAGCATGGTGGTGTTAGATCAGCTTCAGAGAATGAAAAGAAATGAACCTGGTTGTCCTAATGGTTTGGCTTAGAGTGTTTGCCTTAGAGTGTTCGCCAAAGGGGCCTGGATTCAGTTCTGATCAAGGGCATGTACCTCAGTTGCAGGCTCCTCCCGGGCCAGGCCCTGGTTGGGGCTTATGCAGGAGGCAACAGTTGTGTGTTTTCTTTCCCTCTCACCTATTCTCCCTAAAAATTAATGGAAAAATATTATCAGGACCTGGGAGGAGAGGAAGAAGGGCTGACACTGGGTCACATGCCTGTCCAGTGGCTAGGGGAGGACAGTGCCCCTAACTTACAGCCCCTCCCTCCCGAGACCGCTTTATGGAGGAGGCGGCTGGCTCTCCAAAGAAAAGCAGACGGGCCACACAGGAGCGGCCAGAGCACAGCAGCCTGCGCCCCGCCCTGCAGCAGCTGCTCATCCCAGCCGTGGACCACAGCCTGTTTGGGGGCAGTTTCAGTTTTACAAGATGAAGAGTTACGGAGGCGGGTGGTGGTGATCGTTGCACAACATTATGAATTTATTTAACACCACTGAAAGGTTAAGATGGTAAGCTTTATGTATTTTACCACAATAAAAAAATTAGGGGGCCGAAACCGGTTTGGTTCAGTGGATAGAGCGTCAGCCTGCAGAATGAAAGGTCCCAGGTTCGATTCTGGTCAAGGGCATGTACCTTGGTTGTGGGCACATCCCCAGTAGGGGATGTGCAAGAGGCAGCTGATCGATCATCGATGTTTCTAACTCTATCCATCTCCCTTCCTCTCTAAAAAATCAATAAAATATATATTTAAAAAAAAAAAAAAATAGGGGGAGCCCTTACCAGGTGGCTCAGTTGGTTAGAGCATCATCCCATACACCAAAAGGTTGCAGGTTCGATCCCTATTTGGGGCAATGTACGAGAGGCAACCAATCAATGTTTCTCTCTCACATCAGTGTTTCTCTCTCTGTCTTTCTCCCGTCCTCTCTCTCTAAAAATAAATTAAAAACAAAAACACACAAAACATTCTTGGGTGAGGATTAAAAAGAAAAATGGGGGGGGGGGGAGATATAAGAAAATCTCACTTTGATCAATACTCCCCTAACTGCCACATTCCTCCTGCCACTCCCATGTGCTGCTAGGAGCGCGCCTGTCATGGGGCCCAGTTATTTGCATGCCCACCTGTGCCCCTGCTGGTGGAGGTTCTGTGAGGATAAGGATGTGGTCTTACTCATCTTGGGTTTCCTGAGTTGCACACACAAGGAGACTCAATTAATTGAATCCTGTGGCATTTCTCCCTAATTGTCCTTTCTCCCACCATCCCAGGACCTTCTAACCCAGTGTTTCCCAACCTTCTCTCATGATGAGAATCACCTGGTGGAGTTGTTAAAACACAGATTCCTGAATCCCAACTAAGAAGTGCTAAACTAGAATTTTTGAGAACATATAGGTAAAATTGCATACCTAACTTAGTGCTCTGTATATAAAATCTGTCTTAGAGCACTAGTTAAGTATACAATTTTACCTATATGTTCCCAAAAATTCTAGTTTAGCACTTCTTAGTTGGGATTCAGGAATCTGTGTTTTAACAACTCCACCAGGTGATTCTCATCATGAGAGAAGGTTGGGAAACACTGTTCTAACCAACACCTTACCATCCTTTCTCTGCCAGATTTTGAACAAAACATGGTCCTGGTGGCCTGTGGACCATACACCACATCTGACAGCATCACGTATGACCCCCTGCTTGACCTGATTGCCATCATCAACCATGACCAGCCGGACGTCTGCATCCTGGTAGGAGGTCCACCCGGGACAGCCTTGCTCAGAGGTGCCCCAGTGGGGAAACCAGGCAGTTGGCATTAGAAAAGATCCAGTGCGGATCTAAACTCTTGGAAAGCGTTTCGGATTCTCCTCCTTTTAAAAAATATTTTTTAGTTCTTCATCTACATTTTTGGAGTGGTGTACATGTCTACAAGATTTCCCTTGCTAGGTTCAGACGGTTAGAAAAAGCCCAGTATTGTAGGAGGCTGTCCAACTGGTTATGGGCCATGGTGGACTCCCTGCTCCCAGGGTTCACGGCCTCTGACTGATCTTGGCTGGGTACCGGCCCCACTTGCTAACTGTCCCAGGCGCTCCACGAAGCCTGGGCAGGACAGTGGGACGCTGAGAAAGAACTGCTGGGAGGGGTTACGTGAAGGCGTTCACGAACTCACGTGGTTCTGATTTGATGCTTTCGTTTCTCCCCTCGTCCTTATTTGTAGTTTGGCCCTTTCCTGGATGCTAAGCATGAGCAGGTTGAGGTAAGTCACTGGGATGAGGGGGAGGGTGGTGGATACTTACAATCAGTTGAGCCCTCAGTGTTTTTATTTTATTTTATATTTTTGTTTTTGTTGTTAATCTTCACCCGAGGCTATTTTTTATTTTGTTTCATTTAAAAAAATTATTTTTATAGATTTCAGAGAGGACAGGTAAAGGAGAGAAAGATAGAAACATTGAAGAGAGAGAAACATCATAGATTGGCTGCCTCCTGCCCACCTCCTATTGGGGATAGAGTTGGGTATATGTCCTGACCGGGAATCGAACCTCGATCTCTTGGTTCCTGACTCAAGGCTCAACCACTGAGCCACACTGGCTGGGCTGTTTTCATCTCTTGGAGTTACCCTGCATCTAATCCCTATGGCTAGTCAGAAAGACATTGCAGTGGGGCATTTTAAATAAAGATATGGAATTTGAGGGCTTCATTTCACCAGAATCCAAGGCCATTTGGGAGCTGGGGGAGAGAAATACAAATACTTGAGTCCTGGTGTTCCTCTGTATCACTGGGGAGCGTCAGCACAGATGCAGGTGTCCGGGCGTCAGGGGCTGCCCTGGGAAGGCCCTTACCACTGCTTCCCTCAGCTCGGGGCCCAGTCCTGCTGTAACACAATGGCCCTTCCCGGACATCTCCAACCCAAACATTCATCCTTTTACCATAGTGTTTCAGCTTAGGTTCAAGAGGATTAATTATTTCCCGATCTCCTTTCCTGTCCCCATGGGACCCAGCTCCTTACGGACAGAGAGCTGTCCTCCTTTGCACCCCTTTCAGCTCTTAGCTTAACAGCTGGTACATCGGGTCATCTAATGTTAAACAAATGAATCATCGCCGAATGTCCGCCCTCTAAATCTTTTCTTGCAGAACTGTCTCCTGACGAGTCCGTTTGAAGATGTTTTCAAGCAGTGTCTACGCACAATTATTGAAGGGACACGAAGGTCAGAATTTAGAAATACCGCCCTAAGCTGCCTAGGCTTCTCCTGGGCTTCCTTCCCATTAAAAACCTGAAATTGTTCAAAAGGAGGGGTAGTTCCTATCCTTTCATCTTTTGAACTCGGGATCAGATAGAACTCTTGAACTTCAAGTGCACAGACGCTGAGTTGAGGCATCTTTGTAAACCACAAAGATAAACACACTTGACGTTGCTCTTCCCTTGCTCGCTCTGTACTTCCTTCCTTTTCTCACTCCTATTCGTATACACTCATGTTCCCTGAAATCTTCCCAGGATGTTCCTGGAAGTGTGTGATGACTTACACAGCAACACCCCGAGAGGCCCGACATCTCATTGTGTGAGTGAGTGAGTGGGATGGCCCAAGTCCCTCCCCTGAGTCACTGCTTGCCCGTATTCTGTGGGTATCGCCGGTGGCCAAAGCAGCCGTGGTAGAAACTCAGGGCGGGGATCTTGAATCCCTGCCACAGACCAGGGGAAGGAGCGTGGCAGGGCGCAGGGTGACGAGAAGAATGTGCAGTTCTAACTTGAGAGAAAAGGTGCTGTTTCAGGAACAGTCACTTCCTGTCCCTTTTCCTCCGGAGCTGGTTTGGGAGAGATTGCTGGAGGTGATAGGTCTTCTCTGGGGATTTGCTGGCTGTAGCTGAGCTCATAAAAAACCAACATTCCTGAGGATAAGCTTTTAAAAACAAGTCTGTAACAAAGGTAGATTTTAAAACAAGATGTATAATCTTCCACTCCTTGACCGGGTGAACTGATCCCAGAGTTGATTAGCCTGAATACTACCTTCCGGTTCCGGCAGCACCATGGCCGGTATGGTAGGCCTCGTGGACTGGGGAAACAGCCCCTAAATGACCCCGAGTCAGGGCATTTGAATGGCGCAGTGACAGGCTGCGGCCGGAACTGCCTCTTCCTCCTGTGAAGATGGCTCTGCTTCCCTCTCGCCTCCCAGGTTTGCTGTGGCCTGGGAGTGCATCAGACTGGAGAGCTCGGGGATAAACCCGACAAAAGGAGCAGGGCCGCGGAGCACTGCGCCCGCGCCTGCGTGCTCTCGGTGTGAGATTGGCTGTCTGGGTGCCTCACCCTGTGTGGTATTGACAGCAGTGGCACAAACAAGGAACAGACCGGGCTTTGTTCCCCCGGGGCAGCACCCAGCACCACCAGGCACTTTGATCTGCGGGCAGGGCGTGCCTGCGGGTAGGGAGCTGCCCGCCTCCCCCCAAGCAGTATATAAACAGTCCACGTTTGGGGATTTTCAGAGCATGAAGCTGATTGATCAATAAAAGCCAGAACCAGTGAGAAGGCACCTCCTCCCTCACAGGAGCCAAGCCTGTGTGAGGGCCCTCCCACAGTGATGTATGAGGTTGTGCAATCCTCAGCATAGTTGGAATTTTCTTTCGGAGCCCTCCCCCTGCAGCCGATCTATAACTGAGCAAGAGCGTTTCCTCCTTAACTATTGCTCTTCCGGCGCCTACGCTGAGCAGCAGCTCCCTCTTCAAGCCCAGCTGTGCCTTTGTGTCCACCCAGACTGAGCCCTGGGGCCTGGGCCACAGGCTGTCCACCCAGGTTACCCGGCCTGCTTGCTAGACCCCGACACCAAATCGGTAGACTTGGATAATTACAATGAATTTTTCAGTGTCAAGGGGACTGTAACTAATATATTGGTTATATTAGTCTCGAGATTCTGATTGTCGCAGAAGTCTCAGTTCACATAAGCAGGGGTGACACACAAGTGACAACAGTCACCAACGCCTTTATCCTGTGCGAGGCAGCTCTGGCCGTTAGCGACAGTGGGGAAGGCCACCCTGCCAGCACGGGGAGGAGGTGGCAGTGAGAGTTCTGGCGGGTTTTAAATAAGAGTCCACTTTAGGCCTGTTTGGTTTACATAGGCCCCTCTGCAGGCACAGCTGAGGGTGCCAAGGACATGGGGCTTTTCCCTGTCTTGTGTGCAGCTGGGGAGGATAACAGTTGGCCCCAGACTTAAGGTTTTTAAATCACTTAGCTGGTAACCCTAAGGATTCTCCTGCCTCCATCAAAGGAAACATCTGCCAGCTCTGCTTTTACTGTTGCTGTTAAATGTCTTTCATTTTTCCCAAGGCTGTCTGCTGAGAAATAAGAACTGAGCTCATCCTTCCCCAGGGGAGGGGAGGGGCAGCTCTGGGAGAAGCCAGTCTGGTTTCCCCACGGCTCTGAAGACTCTGTCCTGGATGCCGCTCTGGGACCCGGGGCCTGGTCCAGGAGGAGGCTGTGGGCTCCCGGCCCCTCCCCAGGCAAGAGCCCGTCACGAGCCTTTAAGCCACATCTTGTTTTCGCTCTGGCTCTGAGGCTCTGATCCTTCGGTCAAATCCTGTCTTCCTAGATTTTCTAGCTCCTAACTTCTCTACCAAACAGTAGTCCCATCTCCTATCACGCAGAGCCAGGAGCACACATCCTGGGCGGCTGCTCCAGGTCAGGGTGGATGTGTGAATGAGCACAAACCGTCCCATGGGAGGTGGCGCCTCTCTTCGGAGAAGCGTTCGGTTCGGAAATTCTTCCCTGAAGCAGGGTCTGCACAAGCGCTGTCGCCCAGCTGTCCTTACTCACTGCGTTCGTTTTCCTCCCGCTTCTGATGGTTGTGACGGAGCAGCTCCGGTTCCCACCTTGTCTTTGTCCCGTCGCTGAGAGATGTGCACCACGAGCCTGTGTACCCACAGCCGCCTTTCAGCTACTCCGATCTGCCTCCCGAGGACAAAAAGGTACCAGCGACCCCTCCGTGGCCAGCGGCAGCCAGGATCGAATGTGCCGACCCAGCTCTGCCCCGAAGTGGAGTGAAGATGCCGTTTGGGGCATGCACAGGCCTGAATCTTAAGCTGCTACTCTTTTTTTTTTGGGGGGGGGGGGGGGGGGAATATATATATATTTCAGAGAGAAAGGGAGGGAGAGATAGAAACATCAAAAGAATCATTAATTGACGGCCTCCTGCACGCCCCCACTGGGGATCAAGGCCACAACCCAGGCTTGTGCCCTGACCTGGAATCGAACCATGACCTTGTGGTTCACAGGTCAATGCTCAACCACTGAGCCACGCTGGCCAGGCTTAAGCTATTGTTAACAGGCACATGTGCTCATAAATTACTGTACGCTCCCTAAGCCCTTGGAGACCCCCAACTTTCATGAGGAAGTTTTTTTGTTGTTGTCTTTTTAATATATTTTATTTTTTTCAGAGAGGGATAGTTAGAAACATCGAATAGAGAGAATCATCGATCAGCTGCCTCTTTGCACACCCCACTGGGGATGTGCCTGCAACCAAGGCACATGCCCTTGACCGGAATCAAACCCGGGACCTCTCAGTCCGCAGGCCGACACTCTATCCACTGAGCCACACCGGTTTCGGCCATAAGGAAGAAGTTTTGAGCTTGGAGTGCAAATGTGCGTCTCAACCCCTTCTCGTTTTAGCGAGTGCAGTTTGTGTCCGAGCCCTGCAGCCTCTCTATAAATGGCCTGGTCTTTGGCTTGACATCCACGGACCTGCTCTTCCACATGGGGGCAGAGGAGATCAGCAGGTGAGGCAGGACGGCTGGCCTTCCCACACCCTTGGGCCTTGGGGGGAGAAGGGGAGCCATTTTTCTATGAGCACTTGTCTCTGCCGTCTTTGAGACCCCAAAGAACCACGTCTGCTGCCTGCATTTAATTCATGGCGACAGGAGTTTACCTGCTTTTCTCCTCCCACGTTTCACCTAAATAAGGGTGGGTGTCCCCTGGCCTGTGAACTTTTGAAGCTGTCCTCCCCACCAGAGCAGTGTGTAGCTCTGCAGAGAATCTGCCGCAGCCAGATCTGTGCGTGTGGGTTCCGCAGTCGTGTGAACATGGGCGTGTGCTTGTTGGCGGAGATTTGAATTGGGGATCACCCCCGCTACACGCTCCCTCACTGGTGCAGACGCTGCGTGCTCTTGCACAATCCAGTGCTGGCTGTCGTGGTTTTGATCACAGGGGATTCCTGCTCTTTCCCTTCTTCACCCGGCAGCCTGCCCTCCTCGTGTGGGAAAAGACCGAGCTGCTGGTGGGTGGGTCTAAACTTCCCCAGAGGCCCGCTCTTGCCTCGGCCATGTCGTCTCTAGTTTATCAAATCCTCGAGTCCTGCCGAAGAGAAACAGAAACTGAAAAACGTTCTGCATTCCATCTCTTATCTGCCTCCCCCAGTGCTTCTGGAACTTCAGACAGATTCAGCCGAATACTCAAGCACATCCTGACGCAGAGGAGGTGAGCTCGTTTCCTGGAGCAGTGACTGGCCGGCCATGGGGAGATTGCTTTGGGCTCAGGCAGCTCCACCCTGTGATGCCAAGCTTGTGTCCTGCCCCCAAACACAGAGGGGAAAGGAAAAGAGTGTGATGCCATGGGAACCCCGCCATAGAGGGCCTCCATGTGGAAAGGGGGTCCTGCATCTGAATCAGCTGCTCTGTCTCTCTCCATCTCTAGCTACTACCCACTGTACCCTCCCCAGGAAGACATGGCCATTGACTATGAGAATTTCTATGCCTATGCACAGCTGCCTGTCACCCCAGATGTCCTCATAGTCCCATCAGAGCTCAGATACTTTGTCAAGGTAAGGCTGGACTCTGCCTTTCCCCGGACAGGCCCGAAGCGGTCTCTGACTTTCCTTCCTGGACCGCCGTGCCCACTCCTCATGGGTCTGCTGACGGGGAGCGGTGGTAGGACTAGAAAACACGTCTCTTCATCAGACCCTTAAGTAAATGGCATCCTCTCACTCCCCTCCTCCAGAGCTTGGTGCTCAGTCGGCCCAGCTGGGAGCCCCGTAGGCGAGAAGTATGGCCCCAAACAGTAGCTCTCAGGGGGCCCTGCCAGGGTGACCTGGGGAACCGTTCACACATGCACTTGCCTGCTTCACCCCCAAATCCTGGTTTCACCTCCAAGCGGCCTCCGCCCTGAGAACATGGAGGTTGCGTTAGGGTGCTCATCTCTGCCCCGAGGCCCCGCCCCCTGGAGCTGGGTTCCTGGGATTTGGGACTCCCCCAGCCACCCCCCCTCTTGCCAACCTCACGGTGAACTGGATCTGGGTTGGCAAGAGGTCAACTTTTTCACGTTGGAAAACAGCCAGGTCACGTGTGTCTCCAAGTTTGGGAGCTGATTGACATCTGCCCAGTGACCTCCATTCTGTTTCAGAGACTCCAAAGGGACTCCGTTTTCCAGTAATAAGTTCACATATTTGACTTAGGATGTGTTTGGTCGCATTCCTTTCCATTTTATAAAACCGTTTGAGATCTGTTAGATTTCCCAGCTTTGTCACAGTGGTCCCAGTTTGGCCTTTCCAAACCCAGTTCCTCCTCTCCTTCCCAGGATGTCCTTGGCTGTGTCTGTGTGAACCCCGGGCGCCTCACCAAAGGGCAGGTGGGGGGCACCTATGGCCGGCTCTACGTCAGGAGACAGACCGTGGACGGGGAGGAGAGGCGGAGTGGGTGTGTTGCCGCCCAGGTGGTGAGGATCTGAGGCCTGGGGTGCTTTACCGTCCCCACTGTGCGGGCCCTCGTGTGGCCATAGCCGCCAGGAGCCCAGGAGTGGCCCTTGACAAGATCCCAGCTGTTGGAAGGTGAAGGAGCAGAGGCAGCCAACTGCAGGGGAGAGGCTGCGGGGAAGGTGTGTGTGGCTGGCCGGGCTCTGAGCGGCTCTGAAGAACACACGAAGTCCAGAGCGAACTGGCTGAGGCTGCAGCGTGCTCAGAAAAAGCGACGGCTTTGTGGTTTTCTACGTGAATCAGACACAGAAACAGCTTTTGGAGAAATAAAATTCTGAGTGTAACTTCTGGGTCTAATCTCTCTCCCACTCTTGCTCTTTCCTGGTGGCGACTAAGGAAGGTGGCCTCCTCGGCCTTGTCCGGAGGGGCGGAGTGGCTGTCACTGGCTTCTGGCCAGCCCAGCTGGGTCCCCCTGAGCCGCTCCCAGGGCCCCCGGCCTCTGCTGAGGAGGTGTGCCAGGCCCAGGCCATGGCGCGGGGCTGCAGAGCGAGCAGCTGGCTGCGTGCCTGGCCCTCCCCGCCGCTCACATGCACACTGTGGTCCCAGCCTGACCTCTCCATCTGGAGGGGCGGCCTCCCGGAGCCGTGCCAGCTGGATTCCCGGCGCTGGCTCTGCCAAGCTGCACGGCAGGCTGAGCCCACCTATAGCCCAGAACGTGCAGCCCAGCCTTCCAGGATCCCCAACACGTCCTGGTGCCCGGGGTTCTGGCGTCCAGGAAAGGCTTCTCTGGCTGAACGTGGAGCGGGTTTCTGCCCTAAACTGGCAGGCGGTCCTTCCTCACATGCCAAAGCCAGACAGGACACCCCCAGCCGCCGGGCCAAGGGAGCAGGGGCTGATGCCTGTACCTTGAGTCAGATAAATAGGTAACCCGTCAGCACCCAACCTTTGCTCCCGCCCCTGGAGGAATCGATGGCAGATGTGCGGACTCGGGTAAAGCTGGTCTCCCTCTGAGAACAAGCAGCTGCTGCTGTGCTCATTCCTTTCCTAGGCGCCTTCTCTGCAGACAAGCATCGGAGACAAGCCCCAGCTTGGGGAGCTGATCTCCCAGAATTCCCCACGCCCGGACCTCCCAGCTGGTCCGAAGGGCAGCATGACTTGGGCTCGGGTGTGGCGTTTCGGAGCTCAAGCCTCTTCCACAGCATGCTGCAGCTGCCCAGTTCGAGAACATCACCTCTGTTTCCGCCAAGCCCAGTGTCCGCTCAAAACAGCCCCTCCTTGGGAAACCCTTGCCTGAGAAGATAAGCAGCAGGCCCTCGGCCATGATAAACAAGCCCTGTCACGTGAGCCCGTGTGGCTCCTGGGAGCCTGGGCTCTTGGCAGTTCATGCTGCTGCTGAAGAAGCCTTGGCCGGGCAACGTCTTGGTCCCCACTTGGCCAGGTCCAGGGAGGCCCCAACTCCTGAACCGGCTCGGGAGCACCCGGAGGCCTGTGGGAGGGGGCGGCGGCAGAGGGGAAGGAGAGCTGCATCCTGGCGGGGAGGGGGAGTGCAGGGCCTCCCGGGAAGAAAGCTGGAGCCGCCTGGAATGAATGGGATTGAGAGCCGTTGCCTGGATACAAGTCGTGTGACTTGGAAATGATCCGGGAAGGTCAGAGCAGGCATTTAAAACTAAAAAAAAAAGCAAGCAAGCAAGAAAGCAGGGTGTGAGGCAGAGGATGGCCAGGTCTGGCGGAGGTGCGCCTCTGCCGCCAGATGGTTCCCTTGTCAGGAAGTCCGTGCCCAGCAGCTGCCAGGCTCCTCTTCAGCCGAGTCCCTGGTGTCCGAGCGTCATCCCCCTTGCACGTGGGGGTTCTTGTTCCCACCTGGCCGGGCTCAGGGCCTCTGGCTGGGGGTGGGGAAGGGAGGAGCCTGGGCTGGGCCTGGGCTCCCGGGGCCCACCTGCTTCAGGTTCTTGGTAGAATCTCCCTGGTCCCGGTTGTGCCTTGTGCCATTGTGACACACGCCCAGAGGTGAAGCTCTCACCAGCTGAGCCACCCGAGAGCCACTCCTGGGCGAACAGTCCTGGATGCTCACCCTCCAGCCTGCGAGCGCTGACTGCAAAAGCCCTCCGCTGACGAGGGTAGTTAGAGCTTTTCAATTGTTAACTGATTTTTAGAGAGGAATGGAGAGGGAGAGAGAGAGAAACTTTGATGAGAGAGAAACATCATCACTCGGCTGCCTCCTGCACACCCCCTCCTGGGGATGAGCCAGCAACCTGGGCATGTGCCCTGACCTGGAGTCCATCCGGTGATCCTTTGGTTCCTGAATCAATACTCAACCACTGAGCTACCCCAGCTGGGCAGATTATTTTTTAACATCTTAAAAATTGTTATTGAAATATTAAAAGAACAAACTTCACCATTTTAATGTGTACAGTTCAAAGGTTTTTAGTATATTCACAACAGAATGCAAGCATCACTAATTCTAGAGTATTTTTATCACCCCAAAGAGAAACCCCATGCCCATTAGCAGTCACTTGCCATCTCCTCCCCAGTCCCAGCCCTTGGAAACCACGATTCCACGTTCTGTCCATGGCGTTGCCTATTCGGGGCATATCACATACATGGAATGACACCACACGTGGTCTTCTGTCGCTGAGTGGCCACACCTATCCCTGCTCCCTCTGGGACTGTCCTGGACGAAACAGGGCCCAGGAGCCTAGGGGCCAGTCTGTCCTTGTACACAACTGGGCCCACGGCCAGCTCCACGTTTTTCTACCCAGACCCTCCCTTCTCCTCCGGCTCCTCCCTGCCCAGAGCCTGCCTGACAGCTGAGAACTCTGCAGCTGCCCCGGCCCAGGGGCCTCTCCGAGGTCTCGGACAGCTGCTGCCCCCTGACCCTGCTGACCTGATCCCTCACGCTGCTCCCTGAGAGCCCAGGCGGCAGCCCCCAGCCTTCAGGGCCCAGCCGAGCTGTCTCCTCCGCCTGCTCCCAGGTCTGCAGGGCCGTCAGCAGGCCCAGCCTGGAGGAGTGGGAAAGGGGAGAAGCAGGGTGGCAAGGTGGGCTCCAGGCCCCGCAGCCCGCAGAGGCAGTGGGGGTCCCAGGACAAAGCAGGCGGCAGCAGGCTGCGCACTGAGTCAGGGACTAGAAGGCAGGTCCGCTCCTGATCCTGACAGCCTTCTCCCGAGGCCTCTGCCTCCAGGAGAGTGCCAGTCCCCTTCCAATACCTGCCCCTTGGGATATTTCTCTAACACTGGCTACCTCGGGATGGTGTCAAAGGCTAGGGGTCAGGAGTTTAGAAAATTATTTGTCATGTCCATCCTCATGTCCTGTTTGAAATCTTTTGCCGTAAGCATGGGTGACTTTAAAAGAAAGAAAAAAATAGGTGGCCCTAACCGCTTTGACTCAGTGTCGGCCTGCAGACTCAAGGGTTCCAGGTTCGATTCTGGTCAGGGGCATGTACTCTGGTTACAGGCACATCCCCAGTAGGGAGTGTGCAGGAGGCAGCTGATCGATGTTTCTCTCTGTCATCGATGTTTCTAACTCTCTATCCCTCTCCCTTCCTCTCTGTAAAAACTAAATAAAAAGTATTTTTTTAAAAAAAGAACATGTAGCCGAAACCAGTTTGGCTCAGTGGATAGAGCATCGATCTGGAGACTGAAAGGTCCCAGGTTCGATTCCGGTCAAGGGCATGTACATTGGTTGCAGGCACATCCCCGGTGGGGGGTGTGCAAGAGGCAGCTGGTCGATGTTTCTCTTTCATCGATGTTTCTAGCTTTCTATCCCTCTCTCCCTTCCTCTCTGTTAAAAAAAAAAAAAAAAATCAATAAAACATATTTAAAAAAATAAAAAATAAAAATAAAAAAAGAACATGTATATATGCAACTCCCCGCCCTCCAGCCCTCCACATCCTGTCACGTTTGTAACGCGCTGCCTGGGAGCCGGCTCACAGGAGCTGCTGTCTGTGCCTCCCAGCGAGGTCACTGGTCACTGGCTCCAGGCTGTTCTACTTCCTGAACCTTTGTCTCCCAGAACCCCTTCTTGCTGTCCCCAGCATCCTGCCCATTCACAGGGCACCTGCTAGATGGCATAGGCTGTGAGGAAACTGGTGGCGACGGCCCAGTGGTGGCTGGACATTCATCAAGTGGCAATGGCAGAGAGAAGACTGGTCCAGATTTCTCCAAGGGTATACGCAGGGGACTTGGGGTCTGGAAGGCTTCCAGGAGTGGGAGGCAGCACAGCCGAGAGCTGCAGGGTGCAGGCGCTGGCCAGGTGAAGAGCATGTGAAGGGGCCTCTGTGGGCAGGCGGGGCTGGGGGGCCGGAAGCCGCTGTCTGGACAGAGGGAGCTGGGACGTGGCTTGAGGCCTGAGGGATCCATCACAATTGGGGAACGGGCAGGTGGCGCATTATCTTCCCCCCCAGAATCCTCCATCTCCCTTTCCTCCCTGCCCACCCTCATCACCCAAGTCAGCACCCTAGACTAGGTCTGACCCTCCTTCTCCCTCCACGGTTCTGGCCTGTCACCAAATTTTAATATTTTGACTTTATTATCTACAGCCCTGGCTTTACACCGCAATCCAGAGGCAAGTCCTGCCTCTCTCTGCTGAACCAGCTGTTCCTACAGGGTCCCCTGCCTCCAACTGGGCCTCTCGCCAGGCCGCCCTCTCCAAAGCAGCCAATTCATGGGAAAGAAATCCAAATGGCCCTGAAGGCCTGACACGATGGCCAAGCTGCCCTGTCATGGGAGAGGCACAAGCCGACAGTACGCCGAGGTTCCTCCGGCTCTGCCTGGTGTTTACCTTTCAGACTGACAGGAATCACAGAGGCCGAGAGCCACGGCTGCGGAGGCTGAGGGGAAACGGGCCCTGTGGTCCCTGCTGGGGGGCTGGTACTTGGCACATCCCACGGGAAGGACAAACAGACAGAGCTGACCAGGTGACAACGGAATGTGCCCTTTGACCCCCCAAGCCTCTCCAAGCCTACTCCACAGCCATGCTCACACGTGTGTGAAACAGCATTTGAGCAAGAAGACTAACTGTGGCCCAGCTCGCCATAGGAAGAGGCTGGGAACCACCTAAATGGCCACCAGCTGAGAACTGCTTACGTAAGTTACAGTGCACTGGAATACTATGCAGCCATCAAAAAGTGAAACCCAGGCTGGCCAGGGTGGCTCAGTGGTTGAGCATCCATCTATGAACCAGGAGGTCCCGGTTCGATTCCTGGTCAGCGCACATGGGTAGTGGGCTCCATCCCCAGTGTAGGGCATGGGGGAGACGGCCGATCAATGATTCCCTCTCATCATTGATGTTTCTTTCTCCCTTCCTCTCTGAGATCAATGAAAATATATTTATTTTAAAAAGTTAAACCCAGGACGTACTC